CACACACACACACTCACACACACACTCACACACACACATACACACACACACATACACACACACACACACACACATACACACACACACAAACTCACCTGCTCTGTTGAGCACAGCGATGGGCGTGACCCAACCGCGAGCAAACCCAGTGGTCACTGTCCCCTGGACGTTCCCGTAGAGTTCTGGCGTCCAGATGGCTGACCACTCCATGTTCTCCGGCTCCACAGTGGTGTCCCAGTAGCACAGACTCACGTCACGGTCATAGATGCGCAGCAGTTTCTCATACCTGTAACATAGGCCAGTGGTTAGAGGGTGACCACGAATTACGTGCAAGAAATAGCGCCGTAAAGGATAAATTTTACTGAACCGAAAAAAGTTTTTAACTGTCTACCTTTAATTTAGAGTGCGGTAAAATATGTTGTTCTCAACCAAAAACACTTTCAACTTTCAATCTTAAATTTTCAACTTTAAGCTTTTACATTTCAATCGCTAATGTCCAACATTCAGCTGTTATTTATCGTTATGAACTTTTTATATTCCAACGTGTAACCTTTAGGTGCAGCTAGCTTTTCAGCTCCCTCTATCAACAACCTCTTACTTTTGCATAGCTAGCGGGTTGCTTGTTCTGACTGTAGTCTAGATTTGTTGGTGCTTCTAAGAAAGTAGCCTTTTACTCGGGGTGTCCTCGTAGACGATTAAGTTTATTATCTTCAAAACTAGGGACATATATCATGTGTTCAGAGGAGCGTTACCCCTCTACTAAAAAAAAAAACAGTTTAAAAAAAGCGCATTTTCACCCCAAAAATAAGTTATTTTCATGGCTATGCTTAAAAGAATAATTTAATGGTGATGTTTATTCCATTTTCTGATTGAAGACTTTTAGTTGATTCAAGTACCAATGTGCCAGGATCTGGACGATTAAGATGTAACTTATCGTATCTTATCTTATCTAGTATAAAACGTAATAGTGTAGCATGCTCTTAGTTTTATACAAAAAGGATTATTAAAGTTCAATCTCCAGTTGGGAAAGGTATCATACTGAGTATCTGAGTCGAAGCAGAATGTCAACAAAATGGTGCGGATTGAGTCAGAGTCAGAGGAGGTGCAAAACATTAACCATCTATCAACATATTATTATTACTCACAGAAAGATGAGCACCCTGTGGTAGGGAAGGAAGGCGGGGCCGGCGTGAGCACCTTTGTTCACCTCGGGGTGTGCGTGAAGAAACGAGTAGGCGTCGTGGACATTGGGCCGGACTCTCTGAGGACAAGGGGAAATACTCTAAGATAGATACACATCTAATATGCTAATAGTTGTCTCAGTGCATGGGTTTGTTCGTCTCCAATTTATTCTTTTGAATGTGGCGTCTTCAATTTATAAGCATATTTCATGATATAGAACTACAAGAAACACTAATTTTTTCATTGCTTCCTCATATCTCTCTACACGTCATGTTTCCAAGCCACGCAGATTGCTTTAGAACATATCAGACCAATCACATGGATCCATAATATTGGAGATATATTATTTTTCTGGAGTAGGCATAACTACAAGCTAAACATGACACCATGCAGTCTGGTTTACGTTGGAAAAATGTGAAACATGAAACTTGAAGCGCCAAACGAGAGACATTTTTACACAACACGTTCCCTCATCATGTAGGATGAGTCATGCTCTTTCATTTGTGGGTTCAAGACGACATATTGGTAGCTTTAAGTGTTTTGAAAACAAAGAGAGAATAGAAAAAACAACAGTTATTACTGTTTGTGGTGTCGTGATCAGTTTCTGTTCAGGAACTCAAGAAGTGAATTTCACAGAACCATCTGCCCTTTAATTGACTGAAAAATGCTTTGCAAGACTTCAAACGAATTCATGTCACCGGCTCTTCAACATTTACAATCTGTGAGTGACAATGGGCAGGAACCAATACTTTACCTAGTTTTACTTTTTCCGGTCTCTGTTATCTTACGGTGTTGAGGGGAGAAGCAAACGCTTTTCTCTTGTTTGTTGTATCGTCTGTTGCATAGTTATATTGTTCTGAACTCATGTTTCTCTCACCCCTCTTTCCATCTTTCCCTGGGCATTTTTCTTCCGTTGTATCCATCTGATCTCTGGTTGTATGCTTTCGCTGTTGTACTCTCTGGTGGCAATTATGACAGATGCCCAAACCATTTTATGCACTGTTTAACTATGTACTTCAAGCAGGCAATCGAGCCAATTTGTTCTATGACTTTCTCCTTTCTCACCCTGTCTCTTCTTGTGATGTTCAAAGTTGTTTCTTTAGCACCTCGCTTCACAGGCGTTTATTTTATTTTCTTGACTCTTGTTTACTGCCCATGTTTCGGCTCGGTAGCACAAAGTTGGTATAACGATGCTGTTGACAGTTGGCGCCGTTTCCAGTGTGATGTTGAGATATGAAAGTAATCGTGACCGTCGATAAGTCATAGCATTGGCTTTTTTTGTTCTGGTTTCTCTTTCTCTTTCTAAATTTCCTTCTTGGGTGAATACGCTTTTCGGGTATTCGAACTCCTCTACTTGCTTGATTTTACTGTTGTCGGCTGTGATATTTTCATCGCCTCAGTTTTGCTTGTGCTAATCTTCATGCTGTGGTCTGTGCAGCTTTTGCTCAATTTGTGTGCTTGTTCTTGGGGGGGGGGGGTCTTCTCGTAAAAAAATTCGACAATGGAGAAAAAAGTTCTTAACTATTCAAGGACTCACTACGGAAGCCTCACTTGAAATGATCATCACTTTTTTTCATTACGTCTCCAAGTGAAGTCTTGCAGTTCTGGCGTGCTGTTACTTATATGAGACTGTGCTTACGCGCAGGAAGCGTTTTGGGTTGCGAATTTCGTGTTTTCTTTTTTGTGTTTCTTCCTATGAGTGCTGGGCCAAAAACATGCGCACTTTTGTAGCCAACAAGAAGTACTGGACTGTCACATGCTACATTTGCATCCTGTGGAAACCTGGTATGAGCACAAAATAACATGGCCCCAAACTGCCCATTGAAATTGTTTACTTTGCATTAACGAGAAATGTAGGGGTAATGGTATCTTGAAAAATATTTGTGGTGATTAAATTCATGATACAGGTAAGCTGATTAAGAGTGTTTTCCATAAAACTGAACCAACACCATCTGCCACCAGTCAAATTAATTATTAGAGCAGTAACTTCCTAAAAATACGTTTATCATTTTCTGTCAGGAAGTATACAGTAGCGAAAATGAACATGATACATAACCTTAGAGGATTGATACCATTTTTCAAAATTCACCCCAACAAGCCTTCACCCCCCACCC